GGTCATGGTGGGGTATCTTGGTAATTTGGGCATTTTTTTGAAATTTTGACAAATTTGGGTGTATTCAAGGTGTTTGAAATGGGTTTTGATCAATTTTGGGTATTTTGGCAAAATTTGGGAATATTAGCCAAATTTGGGTACCACCAAGGGCAGTTAGGTAATTTGGAGGTGCATAGGGGCAAAAGACCAAGTTAGGCATTTCACATAGAATTGGATAGATATCCGTTCTAAATGAACCATGGATTAATGTATTGTGAAGATATGGTGTACCCTAGTTTCAAGTCAACACCCAGGGTCAATCCTAAAGCCAAGTAATCCTATAGGGATTCTTCTTGAATTCTCTTATAATGATCTTACCTACTAAATGCTAGAGGTTAATATCAATATGTGGAATTTCAAGTTGAGTAAAAAGAAGAGTTTTGAATTTCTAATGGTGGGGGTACCTTTTCTAATTTTCTAAGACTAGTCAATAGGAAAGTCCTATGGCTAGACCTAGGCTACTAAAGAAGTTTTCTAGACCTCAACCAAAAGTGAGGTCAACATTATGTTATGGTTGTTATTTATAGCTATTGAACTGCGTGAATAAATTATTCTTATGATATTTATTGTGTCATATATTTTAAAATATATATTATTATATTTTAGTTGTATTACATCTCATGTAAATTGTTGTTAGGATTGCACTCACTTCTCGTGCCTATCTTATAGTCTATTGTACTATATTTAATATTTAAATCTTATTCAAAACCTCGTTAAACTATGATCAGTAAATAATCAAATAATATTCAAACCTTATATGAGCCTTCTTCCATCCATATTCAACCCATATTCATAACTTACAAGGACACAATTTTTACTACAAATTTTGGTGTGCCTAGATGTAGGACTTAGATATTAATTTTCTATTATTACCTTTACTTTTTGGTTTTTACGTGTTCAATTACCACTTCTTGCTGAATCGTGTTCATTGGCGTGGTCATTGCATTAATTTTCCTCTTATTTTGAGACCTTCGCTTGGCCCTTTTTTAAATGATATTTGGCATTTTATAGATATAATCTCTAATGATGGCTTGTTGCTAGTCTCAAAATAGGCCTATGGAGCTAATTAGGGGCAATGCACTTGAATATCCATTACTTATCTCAATAATCCCAATTTAATGCTTAAAATTGTAATGAGCTTCAGTTTGTCTGTTATTTTGAAGATTGAGGAAGAAATTTGGCTTTTTGGCTCTTATAAGATAAATTTCTTAATTCTCCTTCTCCTTTGTTTATATTTTGTTATACTCACAATAAATTTTAACCACACTTACCAATTGTCGGCCAAGGATCTTATGAATATAAGATTTTGGTGTAAGCAATTTAAAGCTTAAGATGAAGAGCAAGTTGAAGAGCTATTGGTTGATTCAAGATAGAAGTGGAATGTTTTTTATATGTTGGCTGCCTTTTTACTCTATCATGCATTTTTAGCCTATGGTCCACACATGCATGATTAATTACATTGGTAGATTTACACATAAATGTTTGGTAAGCCATTTTAACAAGTCAGTTTGAGACTTATATGACCAAGACTCAAACTGCATATCTAAGCATGACACGTCGATTTAACTCGTGAAATTAAAAAGATATTTAAAACAACTTTATCATTAATTTAGATAAGGTGGATGATTTACATAAATACCGCTCAATTCCATTGTATCTACATATCTCACACCTAAATTTCAACTTTTACATGCATACCTTACCTATGCATGAATTGGTGTATTTGGTTTTTTTGGGAGTTAAAATGGTAGTGTTTTAGATGGAATATGAGGGATTTGAGTGGTGTAAATGTAAAAACTAAAAGTTATGTATTATATATGCAAATACATAGGAATTGAACAATATGTATGTAAATGCCCCTACTTAGATCGCAGTTGCAACATCAAATGAAGGCCATTTCATCTGTCGAACAGAGCTTAGTCAAATTTACATTAACCTATCTTAGGTTAATCTAGGGCATCCTATTCCATGGCATTACTTATCACATTCCTTAAAATCAATTCATATGACCATCTTTATGCCCCATCGCCTTGCTTAGAGCCAATGCATATATGGCGTTATAATGATTTTGCCAATATCATAATCTTTAGTCCTGCATTACACCTAAATACTTGAAAGTTGGTTCGTCATACATTCTTATATGGTAGATCATATACATATGAAATATCATCTCCCTATCAAAATCACATTTTCAAATACCTCAAAATATGATAATCCATTTGCTTTTCTTCAACGAAATCACCGTAATTTCAAAATTAGTTTATCCTGAGGTGCAACCGCATTCAACTTAAAACTTGAAAAAATATTATATCAGGACTCTGAATCCATTCGAAGTTCAATGATGGAGCGTCACGTGTCAAGTCGACTCCAGTACATTACGGTGGGACTCACTTGACACGTGACGCCCCACCATTAACTTCAAACGTTAATTGCGTTAGAAGTCCTGATGTAATACTTTCCCCTCAAAACTTAGTAGACATAAAAAATGATAACTTCTTAATCTTTGATTTAGTAAATCCAATTTCTTCACACTTTTGCCTTCATTCTTGAATTCTTTAAGAAAGAGTAGCCTCTAAACTATTAATATACATAATCAAGCAGCCCATGTATTAATTAAAAAAAAAAAAACAACTCATTGCCATCCCTAACAAGTTTGCTAAACCATAATTTAAACAAAAACTTAAAATTTAATCAACGGATACCATACACAGAAAGTTACTTCCAAAACACTTACCATCATACAGAAAACAGAAAGGTATGGCACACTTGGCTGAACATCGTAAATCGTAATTACAAGCACCCATTGCCATCCCCCCAAATCCACAAAACGAGAAAAATTTTCGTATAGAAGACGTACGCAGCGCTGTGTAGGTCAAGGAGGTTAATAAGAGGCTATTGAAGATTATATCAGCGTTATACCCCGTAACCTACCTGTAACAGATATATGAAAACATTAGTGCGGAACTAAACAGATAAGTTACAAGGAGATTATAAGAGATATAACACGAAAATAACCCTCAATACGCTCTTAGATAATCTCTCTGACCTACGCAGTCCTACTTACATCCTAGTAAATTTTTCTCAGACAAAACAGCTAAAACCTATAAAACAACTAACAGATACAACAATACAGAACACGGTAATACAAATGCACGCATATCCGACCAGCCAATTCTAACTCTGACCCCGCATCATCCTCACGAATTCATCAAAGCAAACAAAACCATCGCCGTCGGTATCCACCACTCCGATCATCCGCCGACAGTTCTCAAGCGTGCAGACCTCGTCCCCGAGCGTGGCGAACACTCCACGGAGCTCTTCAGCCGAGATTTTTCCATCTCCATCGCCGTCAAACACGGCGAAAGTTTGTCTAAGATCAGGGGAAGCAGGGCCGCCGGTTTCAAGTCCAAGCGCCGCGATTTCCTCCACGCTGAACTGACCGTCTCCACGCCGGTCCGCTTCGGCTAACATCTCCGCAACCTCCTCTTCCGTCGGAGGTTTCGGCTGAAGCCGCCGAAGCACGATCTCTAGTTCTCGCCGCGTTACCTTTGTGTTCTCCGCCTCATAACTGAATGATGAAGAGCTGCTCTGCTCCTCTCTGGGCATTGCTCTGCGGCGGGGTTTGGGAGACAGAACGGACTTGGGGGTGGCGATGTGATGATGATCATCGGAAGGGGATGAAGCGGAATTGGAGCCTAAGGATGGGGAAGCATCACCTCGGCTCTTTTTCTTGGAGGAGCCGAATAAAAAGGAAGGAGGACAACTAACGATCCTCATAGATTATCTTCCCTTCGTTGCAGAGTGAACTGAGGGATGGAGAATTTGTAGGGGTTGGGAGGGGGCTTGGGCTGGTTAAAACAGAGGAGTCAAGGCAGTGGTCTTCGAGGAAGCTTCGCAGGACTTCGGGATTGAAATACTGGTTACGAACAGTACTTGTTCATTCTGTTTTTAGGCGCGCAGATCGCTATCATCAATGTAAAAAAAAAAGGATGGTTTTCAAAGAAATGTTTTTTATCGGTAAATATTGAAAAAAAATGAACTTTTTTCGCTTGCTTTGGTGAAGGTGGTGATGGGGACGAGGGAAGCTTCGTAGCTGCTTCGGTGGACTGACTTTTGGAAGGGAGATGGCGAAGAAGGTGAATAGTACTGTGATGCAGTAATAGCGGGCAAATTTCGTCTTACAGAGTTGCAGAGTGAAGAAACTGTTGGACAGAACTGGCCAGGTTTGCGGGCACTTGGCCGGAAATTGCATGGAGTGCTTTCTTTTTGTTGGCTCAGCAAACGAAAACTTTTATATGATAAATAGGGATCATGGCCGTAGCTGGCCGGATATCGAGGCGCAACTTCATGGGAGCTCGCGCTTGGTGCTTGCTTCGTTGCATTCTGCCACGCGCGACAAAACGTGGAACTTGCCTGACTGGTAAGAATCTGGGAGCGGGCCTTTGATTTGTTGCTAATCTTTTTAAATTTGTAAATTTTTTAACATTATCATAGTGTCATCAATAGTTTCTTTAAGATTTCTACGCTTGCTTATCAGTTCTCATGTATGTGTCAAACTTCTCATGAATTTTTTTTATTTTCAGTTTCTTTATAGTCACATCCTAGACAGATCACTATATTGTTATAGTAGATCAAATATATAGGTGTATGCATGACATGAAAATATGTATTTGATTTTTTAAAACATTAAAAATAGTGATATATTTTTATGTGATATGAAAGATTTGGTCTTGGTTTATCTGTGAATGACATCGTAAATGATAGAACGTTAAAGTAAGAGATATATAGATAGACAAAAAAAGAGCGAACATTAATGAACAAAAAATTGTATCACTCTTGTTGACATCTTCATGACCTTTCTAGTTGAAATTATGTATATATTTTGCATGAAATGATCTTCATATTATATGGGAGAGTACAATATAGTGATGTTACGTTTTTGCTTCTGCTTTAATTGAGTTTGTACAGGGTATTCTGAGTATTTTATCGATATGAGCTTATCGCTAGACTGCTCACTGGCTTGGTCGGATGAGCTTGCTTAGCTTTGGCTTGGTAAGACCGATCTGGTTGGCTAGGCTGAGATGGCATTGACTTGCTTCGGGCTAGGAGACATAAGTTTTTATGATGCTTAAACATTTTGGGTCGATTCTTGTGTATTTTGTCAATCAAACATTATTCGTCACTTTCATTCAAATTTAGATGATTTTTACTAATTGGAAGTTTATTTATTGTTGTTGATTTTGAAAAAAAATTACAAATTGGACGTCTTGCATTGTTGTACATTTTGTCACTCGGGTGAAAACATCTTGATGGGTTGATTTGAGTTCTCTAAGTGTTGGTCAAATTTTGACAATCCCTTGCATGAACTTCTCGAGTTCCTCGAGTGTTAATCGAACTTGGTGATCATAGCAAAATCTTATTTATAACTTTTTTTTCATGCTCTTAACAGCAAAGCACAAGGTTTTGAACGATAACAATTTTATTTTTTACTTATTGAGACCTAAAATTTTTCCAATAATTTTTTTTTAGATTGTCTCCAATCCACTCTGAGGGTTTCCTTTCTCTGTGTAGGACTTTCCATTTTTTTCCCTAAGAGTGACCCGTTTGTTCATGATAAAGGGCTCGATCCAAGTCTGGTCGAGCATTCCTACAGCTTATCCTCATGCGGCTTGATTGGTTTAATTCAACATAAGGTCCCTGGTAGCAAAGGTCTTCTCTCAGACGTGCTTATTGTAATAGTGAGTCATTTGCCTCTTGACTTTCTTCTGCCAAAGGACTAAATCAGTTTGTGTTTCCTCAACAAATTCGAGTATGAGCATCACTCCTTCATTTGCTTCTTTTCACTCATTTAACTCCGCTTTATCTAACACTGAGGCTGACACCACTCTTTATATGTGATGATTGTATTTGATTGATAACATTGCCTCCATCCCATGTGATAGCATAAATGTGGATTGCCTGGTCGTCGTAGGTGCCATTCAAACCGACCAAAGAACAGGTGGGAGAACCTCTACCCATTTTCGTTTGGCTCCTTCAGCGTTCTTCATTAGCATGTTTAAGATACTTTTGTTGGCTACTTCATCATGCTCATTTGTTTGAGGATAATGTACGGATGCAAACTTTAAGCTAAGTACATAATTTTAGTAGAAATTCTTCACTCCCTGGTTGATAAATTATGTCTCATTGACTGTCATGATAACCAATGGTAGCTTGTTATGGCAATTCAGATCCATCCAAATGTAATTCTGAACGACCTCTAAGGTGATCCAAGTGAGTGCCTTGGCCTTGATCTGCTTAGAAAAATAATTCACAGCCAAGAGAAGGAATTTGCATTGACCTCGCGATAGGGGAAGGGTTCAAGGATGTCGAGTCACTAAACAACAAAAGGCCACAGATTAACGATGGACTTCAATTTATGTTGTTGTGCATAGTTCTGAATTTATTTGCATTTCGTTGAAAACTAGCATGAGTCAATTTTAGGTGATTGTCTTGAAAACTGGCTTAATTCAAGTTGTGATGGTGTTTGTCTTCACTTGAGTCAGGGTGACTCCATAGTTAGCATAGATTGATCATAACTCGCTATAATATGACAGGCAAAGGCTGAGTTGGAACTAATCCTTATAAAACATAAAGCCATTGTTATAAAGTGTGGTCACCCTATTAGCCTTATCAACAACCTGATGTACGATAAAAGATTCACATACATGACTTTATTGCAGTGAGTCAACGTCTTCCCAAATCATCCGAGACCAGTCTTCTAGGGTGACCAATCTAAAATGCCTTGGAGAATACTAAGGAGCCATTGAGCTATCGCCAGAGTGCAGAGGAAAAATCTAAAAAAAACTAAGAGCAGGAAAACCACAAAGAATGTGTGTCTTTTGTTTCCCAAGCCCTTTATCTAGAAGCAAAAGAAGTCTACTTGTCAAACAAAAGTACAATCGGAAGTGACCAGTCACTCCCACAAAAAATCACATATAAAATAAAGAAGACACAAAAAATTAGAAAAGAAGTATCGTTATTCTAGAATAACATGGATTACAATGCATTGCTAAAAAACCGGTCCAAAGAAGCAAAATATTTTGTAAGGGGATCCAACGCCGCATCGACAGAGACATACCCCAGCCAAAGCAGCCTTTTATACAAAAATTTCCCTCCAAACCTAAACTAATTTAATAGATCCAACACAGTCTGAGCTTGAAAAACTCGAGATATCTCTTGAACAACCAAAATTTCTTGATGAAAGGTTACCATAGTCTCTTCCACCTTCACCATGCGGGTCGATAACTTTTAAATCTCGCAATCTCGTTAGATTATGACCATCCAAATGAAAGAGCATTTTATCTCATCTAAGTAGCGAACCAATGACCCGTGGGACATCTAAACCTCATCCTCAGCTTCACCTTTTATTTTTGAAATGCTTATAAAATGAAAAGATTTGATTATGGAGTAAAAATAGAATGAATAATGTGTTTTGTTTTTGAAAATTTGGAGCTTGTTTAATGTAAATTGAGGAATAAATTTTTGGTGTATATGCCTGAAAGCAGGAGTTTTGATGTTGGCTTTAAATTTGGAAGAATTAAGTAATTTCTTCATCCCTTTTCACTCTGATAATTGATAAGTGGCAAGCCTCTTTTTATTTTGTCTATTGTGTTTCATTCTATAGTTCCCTTCTCAGGTTATCTTTCTTCTAAAATCAGTTCATTACATATTATTTGAAGATGAAAGTGATGATGATGATGATGAAAAAAGACGAGAGAGAGAGAGAGAGAGAGAGAGAGAGAGAGAGAGAGGTAAAATCAATTGGATAAAAAACTAAAAAAAGGGTGTGGAGAATTCTCATAAGATAACCTTTATGAGATAAGTCTCGAATAGAGGTGCAAAAGAATTAGACCGATTTTTATTAGTCCATGAAGAAGACCTATAATTTTTTTTTTCATATAACAGAAGAATCAAGTTTATATTTGTTCTAGGTACATGAGCACTCCAAAAAAATTATTCTTTTGGTTGATTATATATTAAAAAATACCCAAGAATAATTTTAATTCAAAATATTGTGATTGTGCTCTAAGATATATCAATGTGATATACCAAGAAATGTTATCATCATTTCAGTAGATGAGGATAAAAAATTATATACTTTATTGCAGCGAGCAGACCTCTTCCAAAATTATCCAAGATTGGTTGTCCAGGGCAACATCAACAAATATATCAAAATGATAAAAACATGTTCAAAGAAGGTGCATGGAAAAGTAAGAAAATTTTGAAAATTGTTGGATATAACCAAGACAAAATTTCATAGATATATTATCATGGGTTATCAAACTTTGAATCAATATGATGATAGAGATAATTAACCCAATATCACAAATAATTTCTTGTTAACAATCCATGAATTGAATCACTTGAGAGAATGCTATAGACCAAAACTACGAAAAGAAAATGACATAGAATTTTATGATTCTATTTGGTAAAAAATGACTGGAATAGGACTTGGCCCTCTCAAAATATGACATAGTGCTTATGAAAGGAAAAGGGGATATGATAACTTGATCAAGAGAGTAAATCTAACATGAACTTACAATTCCATATGAGCCAAGACAACCATTAATGCCATGACAGCTCTAAACAATCACCTAAATACATATAAATTATGAGGCCAATCAAGTGGAGGGGAGCAAGTATACCTTCCGAGGGATACAAAATAATGCAATATTACATATCCCTAATATTGATGCTTTCTTAATATGTGAAGGATTGTCTCATGACATGCATTATAATTTAAAAATTGGTCATAACCCATACAAGAAATAATTTTTTTTATATAACAATTGACTATTTTTTTATCATTTTACAATTATATTCATAAATTATTAATTTTTTATAGAAAATTTATTTTTTTAGGAGCATAATTTATACATGTTATCAATAGCAAAAAAAAAATTGAAATAAAATAGGCAAAATCATTATATAGAGCAAGGAAGCAAACATACAATAAAAGAATATACAAATAGATCAAATAAAAATAAATAAATAAACATGTTATATGCCCCTAGGTTCAACAATTAATACACTCTATTAAAAAGAAAATAAAAAATGCTTTGGCTCCACATATATATATATAACCTAATCTTAGATCAATGTATAAATCTAAGGTATGAGACATGAGCTATCAAATCTTGATCCTCATCTTCTTATTGCCTCGATTGTCACACCCATACCTTAGTTTTAATACAAGCGTTATCCAGAATACAAAAAACATAAAACAAAATCATAAGAATACTATCATAACCTTATTGAAAAAAGGTTTGTATTCACAACTATAAATAAAACATACAACGTGTAATGAGTTATTCCTAATGATAGGGGTAAGCTAACAAACATATGCAAAAATGTATTATTATTTTAGTTATTCATAACCCCTCCATTGTTGACATGAACCCCCTATAGAAAACCACATATATATTTCTAATCTAGTTCACGTCTCCTACATAGTAAACAAATAAAATAGATAAATATAAAATGTGCAACTATCACACAAAAAAACCACACCACAATGATCACATATGAAAAAAAATTAACTGCACACTACATAGACTAAATAAAGTTCTATGAGTGATTTATCATAATATCTAAATGTGTGTAACTCAGTGTGACCGATGATAAACTCATGTACTTGATAAGACCACCATGTCTAGCCTTATGCTAAAGATTTAATTAGATTATAACATGTCATTATAATATAATAATTTTAAATAATTTGGCTGATAGTTTGCCCATTTGTTCTTTATAAGTCCATCATGTTTGGCCAATTCTTGAAATTCATATAGTTGAGAATGTGGTTAGTATTTACTTTAAATTTTCTAGCTTTTAATAATATCAAAGGAGTTATTTTTTTTCTTTGAAAAATTATACTATTAACAATTTACTAGTTGGGATAAGAATATAATCTATTTGAACTTTCAATCACTTAAGCATAATATTTAAGAAAAGATATTGATTCTAGTTAACATAGAAATATAGTGAATTAATTTAAATGATTTGAACTTAATATGAGTTCAAACGTAAAATATTATATCATATATAGGGGTGTAAACGAGGCTCATTTATGTCTCGAGCTCAAAAAGTGTGTTTGTATTCGGCTAGTTTGTTTATTGAGCCAAACACGAGCCGTTCAGGAACAAAGAGTCATTTTGACAAACTTAATCACGTAGCCAGAAGATGTTAAAGATTGGGGCAAGATTTAAAATATCATTTGAATAGAATTTAATAATTTTTATTATATTTTCTTCATTAATATTTTTAATTGATTATAAATATTTGTAGCCTTGTAGTCATAGCCTTGTAGTCAATTAAATTTGCTCATCAAAGATATATATATAATTGATTAGTATTATTTCAAGCCAAAACGAGCCGAACACGAGCTTCTTAACGAGTCGAACACGAGTTGTTAGCGAACAACGAGTCGTTCCCGAACAACGAGCCGTTTTGACACCCCTACACCTAAGTAATGGCATACATCTTAAAGGCTAAATGTGAGGGTCCATCTAGTAATCAACTAGATGAGATATTGAATTGCCATACATGCTCCTCCTCCATTCTCAAGCCTAGCTGCAATTTGATCAACAATATCCAAACCTAAACTTCTATTTCCGAATTCATGCAACATGATATCAGATAGATCATGAAGGACAAATGTAAGAGTCCTCCTAGTAATCAATTCCGCATGAACTTGGGTGGGAAAACATGCTTTGCCTCCATTCCCAAGCCTAATCATATTTTGCCAAATACTTTCTCGACTTAAGTTGCTATTTCCCTATTCCCTCACCAAAATACTAGCATAGATCATAAAGGTCAAATGTGAGGGTCCACCAAGTAATCAATTTTAATTGAAAATAAGCATCCGTTTGGGGCAACTTATCCGCCGCGGCGGTATTTTGAAAACACCGCCTCACCGTTTGGAAACTCTGTTTAAGCAGCTTATTCTAAAACACAGTTGGTTTTTACACTAAATGTGGAACTCAGGCCGAACTCAGCAGTCCGCGTTTCCAGATAAGAGGTTTATCTGGATAAGCACGTGCTGTCTCAAACGCACACTAAGTTGGTAAATGCGTTGCACCCTATTCCCAAGTCTAATCACAGTTTACGAGATATTTTTGGGACCTAAATTCCTATTTCTCAATTCTTGCACCGAAATATTGATGTATATCACAAATTCAAAATATGAGAGTCCACCAAATAATCAAATCCATGAGAAATTGGGTTGGAAAACATGCTCCACTTCCATTCTAAAGCCAAATCACAATTTGCTAGTCGTTTTTCGAACTTAAATTCCTATTTCCCAATTTTCGCTTCTGAATGGTGATATAGATCATAAAATATAAATGTAAGAGTCAGCTTAGTAACCGCTCTATATGAAATTGGGTTGGCATATGTGCTCTTCCTCGATTCCCCAAGCTCAATTGTAATTCGCTAGACAATTTTCGAACGTAAATTTTAATTTCTCAATTTGCACTTATATAGTGAAATAGATCAGAAAAAGGCTAAGGGTGCGTTTGGGGCAGCTTGTGCTTATCCAGATAAGTCACTTATCTGGAAATGCAGACCACGAGGTTGGACCCGTGTTCTGTGTTTAGTATGAAAAACCAACTGTATTTTCGGATAAGCAGCTTAACACAGTTTCCAAACGATGAGGCGGTGTTTTCCCAACAGATAAACAGCCCCAAATAGAGCATAAATGTGAGAGCTGAACATGTAATCGAATCCGGATGAAATTGGGCTAACAAACATGCTTAGCCTCCATTCTTAAGCAAAATCGTAACACACCAAATATTTGTTAGCCCTAAAGTTCTTTGTCCTAATTCCCGCACAAATATATTGATATAGATCATAAAGGCTAGTGTAAGAGTTCACCAATTAATTAATTCCATGACATTGAGCTGACAAGTATGCTGCCTCCATTCAAAGGCTAATCTTAAACAATGAGGGCTTGTTTGGGATCATTTTTGTTTCTCAATTTTTATTTTTATTTTCAATACATGTTTGTTTAATATATTTTTTTGCATGTTTTATTTTTTTATTCAAAAAAACTAAATTAATTTATTTTTTAAAATACTCGTAAAATGTAAAAATTAATTTGAATATTTTTAAAACAATTAAATATATTAAAATATATAAAAAGTGTTTTATTTTAAGTTAATACACATAACAAAAAAAAAATTGAAGTGATTCAATAGGGATTATTTTTATTTTTTGCCTTTTTATTTTATTTTATTTATAGTTTAATTTAAATTAAAGAATGTATGATTAAATTAGTTTTTTTTAATATTTATTTTTAGATATTTCAAAAAAAAAATTTAAAAATTAATTAAAAAAATTAAAATTTATAAAATTTAGATTAATTGAATATATTATATAAATAAAATCAAATTAAAATATGAAAAAAAAAATGATGCCAAATGACTATGGTTTGTTCGGGCAGCGATAGAGTGGCGGTGTGTGGCGTCGCACTACAATTTTTTCTATTATGCGTTCTCAAAATGCTGAAGCTGAAATATGTGTTTTTTCATCACAACTGACTATCTAAACTAAGATTCAACTTTTTCAAGAAAAAAAAAATATAATATTCACTAAAATTTTTTGAAAATCAATTTTTTCTTGGAGAAATTACAATTCCTTTTTCAAATAAGTCTAACTCTTGCTTCTCATTTCCTTGATATAAATCATAAACAATAAATTTGGGGCTCAAAAAATCAATTCCACGTGGAATTGGGTTAAAAACGTGCACGGCGTCGATTGCCAAGCCTAATCGCAAATCGCAATTCGCCACATCTTCCCTAATTTTAAATTACTATTTCCCATCATAAATGCCTGCATGCAAAATTCCGGTTGTTTTTCCTTAACAGTATCACGTTCAACCAGTAACAGGGGAAAACTTCATGGTGGGGATGCAATGGTAAAGATAAGGGGGAAACTGTAGCATTCGGAGAGATTAGAGAAGAACACAGGTGACACGAAACAGGAGAAGGAAGACGAGGCAGGAATTGGGGAGGAAAGGTTGAGTGGAAGAGAGGAGAATTAGGTTTCAGAAGCGATATGGGATTCTCCAAGGACAATCTTAATGGCTTCATCTTGGCTCTTCTGTCAAGCGGATTTATCGGCGCCAGCTTCATCATCAAGAAGAAGGGCTTGAAGAGGGCCGCTGCGGCTTCCGGAGTCCGAGCAGGTTCCATTTTCTTAATATTAGAAATCTCTCCATCCCTCCATCCTTCCTCCATGCGTTTTTCGTTAAATTGGCGTTTGGTGTTATTATGCAGGGTTTGGCGGGTATGCCTATCTTCTAGAGCCGTTGTGGTGGGCTGGCATGACCTCCAGTAAGGTTTTTATTTTCTTGTTTTTGCATCGTCTTCCTTGTTCAATCGTTTTTAATTGCATTAAGTTATTTAAATTCGTAATTTATGTTAATTTCTTTCCCTGATATTACGTCAAATGTAAGTTATAGTTTAGTTCTCAAGTTGTCAGTGAGTACGTAGGCAAATTGAGATATCGACATAGACCTAGTGATTTAAATGGAATCCGGTGATAATGTTTATCTGGAGAAAGATTTTACTGGCGAAGCGTCGCGTGGAGAATGCTGCAATGCTTGGACTTTTTATTATCTATAACACCATATGGCTTTTAATTGTTAGTAGTTTGGATTTATCTTTGGATCAACAAATTGGCTAATTTTATAGTTTTTATGATCTATTTTCTTTTATAAATCTCTGTTAATGCTAGTCGCAGGCTTGCTTTTTTATTCCATATATTGATTATTATTGAGGATTTAATTTGCAGTGATTGTGGGAGAGGTCGCCAACTTTGTTGCATATGCTTTTGCTCCTGCAATTCTGGTTACTCCTCTTGGTGCACTGAGCATCATTGTTAGGTAGTTTCTGGACTTAATACTGCTTTCAGAACTATTTACAAATTTAGTCATTTATTTAGGTTTTTCTAACAAAATCTCAAATGGGATGTATAGTGCTGTTTTGGCGCATTTTATTTTGAAAGAGAGGTTGCATAGCCTTGGGATTCTAGGATGTGTGATGTGCATTGCTGGATCCATGGTGATTGTGATTCATGCTCCACAGGAAAGGCCAATAACTTCTGTTCAAGAAATATGGCAAAAAGCAACCCAAACATGTAAAAATTTTCTTTTTCTATCATGTTTTGTGCCATGATATGTCTTATTTATTTATTATTTTCATTAATGGCAGTCAATTATGACAATCTCTAATTTTGTCTTTTTATTTTGCAGCTTTTGTTCTGTATGCTGTGTTAGTTATTATGCTTGTTTTTGTGCTGGTTTTCCACTTATCTCCTCGCTATGGCCATTCCAATGTGTTGATATTCACAGGCATTTGTTCTTTAATGGGCTCTCTTTCAGTAAGTTCTTACATTCATAATCTTTTTTAGCTTATTATATTTACCGGTAGTAGTTAGCATATCCAATGGCCTGTACTTTATTCGAAAACTTAAAGTAGCTGTAACTCTTACTGTCGTATTTATAACTTATATTTATTCAGGTAATGAGTGTTAAAGCTCTGGGAACTTCTCTCAAGTTGACTTTTGAGGGTAACAATCAGTTGGTTTATCCAGAGACATGGGTGTTTATGCTTGTAGTTATGACATGCGTGATTACACAGATGAATTATTTGAACAAGGTTAGTGGTGTTTGTTTTGAAAGAGAAATGCTAATTTTCTTTGACAAGCTAACGTTTTAGATACAAATTTAGCTATGTTTTTGATGTCGAAGCACTTGTAATATAGAACTAAAGGTTTGAATTACCAACTATTTCAGAATTCTGAACGGCACAAGCTTCAATAGAAATGGTGGTACCAATTTTTAAATTGTGTAGCCAAAAGCAGCTATATCAAATTGGCATGAATTGAGACTCGAAATAAGTAGGCATTTCTCCTAGGTCTGCTAAGGAAACAAGCCCAAACAAGAGTGGTAATGGTGATAAGCCCAACGTGGCCCAACTCAAGGAACACTGGCCGAATGCAAACGGCCGAGTATAGAAGGGTTAAATGCAACTTTGGTAGAAGTGAATATAAGCACAGAAACCACTAGCCATTCGCCCAACCACCAGTTGAATTTGGAGAGGAAATTGACAAGAAGGCCTAAGCATTGATTAATGATATCACCAGGGAAACAATTAAATGTCCCTAAATAGTCCAAGCACCATCATGACTTATCAATTTCCTATTTAGAAATAAGCCCTGTATGAAGAGAGGATTTAATGAAAATGGGATTACAATCCTCTCATTCGATCTAAGCTAGGCATTACTCAGCTCCCTTATCTCCCTCTCTTCTCTTTCTCTCTTTTTCTTCGCCCTTTCCTCTCACCTCCTCTCACGCTCTATTCCTTTGGCGTGAATCATAGACAAAATGTAATTCAATATTAATTATTGATCTTTTTTTTTACCAAATAAGTTGCAAGCAGACAAATTCTTGTTTTTGATATAAAGTGATGGCCCTTCTATTCTAGAAAGAAGGCATACGCCGTCACATTCAGTAGGCAGAAAGTTGAATTTTTCTATGCAAGAACCTTGTAAGTTTACTTCTAAATTTCAATTGAATCCTTCCTTTCAACAAATATAAAGCAGATTTTTGAGAATTCTTCCAGTGAGGTCAATTAATCAATGTGATAAAAATTAAACTAGATTAAAACAAGGCATATTTTAATATAGTAATATTATAATCTAAAAGTATTTAGATAAGCGCCGCAATCCTTGGTCTCTCGTGCGCAAGCTTTTCTCCTTCTCAAAAGAAGAGAGGTTTTTTCTCTCTAGCGCTAGGCAGCAAGCATTAGATGAAGCCGATTTTTTCCATTTCGGATAGCCCTTTCTTGGGCAAGTAGTGCTTTGGCGTATGCTTAATCGATGTAAAAGAAATAAGAAGAGATGAATGGTGAAAAAACAACAAGCTAGTTCAGAGGTGATCACCATTGAGTTAGAGCAAGTCTAACTTATATGAAATTATTTTAAATTTCGATTTTAGTTCAAGTTAAGTTTGATTTAAACAGAAAATGATCAATATCAAATATAGTTTTAAGTTGATTTGATGCTTGCTTATTGTTTTAATAAGTCTTATATGTTTATTTAGAAAAAAGACACTATTAATAAAAAATACAAGATATGTAGGATGAGACATACCACAGAAGAAATAAGCAATATTGAGCAAATGCTCTAGATAAGTTAATAATAGGCTTGTGGCAACAATCAAATTTCAGGAATAGTGCTGATAATGGTCTTCTTGACATCATTCTCCCAATTAAGAAACTCCAATCTATTCCTATGTATACCACCTTTCTTTTATTTATTCTCTTGCTATAGAAAAAGACTTTGTTAATAATGTTGATGGAAGAACCTTATCATCTCTACAAGATTGATCAAAAGTTTTTTAATTTCTTTCATTGCAGACCAACCAAATAGCTGCTGAAAGAAATGTAAAGCCACGTCTTTAAAACTTTCCTTGATATGTTTGTGCCTCTACTTAGTGAACTAAGCATAAAACTTCATTTTTTAAATTATATAGTTAGTAATTTAGGCATTCATGGTCAAAATTTAATAAAACATCTTTTTCTAAAAGTTGACACAGTGGTTTACAATTTTAGAAAAATCCTTAATATATTGCTATAAAAGCTAGCATGTCCTAAAAAAATTGTAACTCCCTTCACAATAGTAGATGGAGGAAGTTTTTCAATAACCTGAATTTTTACTGGATCAACTTCCATTCCTCTTTCAGAAATTTTATGTCCCAACACAATTCCTTCAGAAACCATGAATTGGCATTTTTCCCATTTAAGTACTAAATTACTTTTTTCACAGCGTTTCAACACCCTGACCAATCGATCCAAAAAAGAATTAAATGAAGGGTCAAACACTAAAAAATTATCTATAAAAATTTCTATTCCTTTCTCAATTAAGTCACAAAAAATTGGCATCATGCTTCGTTGAAACGTAGCAGATGCATTAAATAACCCAAAGGACATTCTTAAAAAAACAAAAGTCTCATACGTACTTTTGAATTTCGTCTTATCTTGATACTTAGAAGCTATAGGAATCTGATGATACCCAGAATGTTATCTAAAAAACAGAAATATGGATGGTCAGCTAGCTTATCTAACATCTGATCCAGAAAGGATAAAGAAAAGTGATCTTTCTAGGCGGCTGAATTTAATTTTCTATAATCAATGTGTACACGCCACCCAGTGACATGTCGAGTAGAGATCAATTTATTATGTTCATTTGCTGAAACTGACACCCCATTCCGTAGGTGCACAGTGGATAGAGTTAACCCAAACACTATCTGAAATAGGATAGATAATATCTGCGTTAAGCCACCTCAATATTTTCTTCTTGACTACTTCCCTCATAACAGAGATTAATGTCTTTTGAGGATCTGCTCGGGGTTTATGGTTAACTTTCATCAGGATTTTATGCATATATATTAAAGGACTTATCCCCTTTATATCTGCTAGAGCCCATACAGAAGCTTTCTTAAAAGTCCTCAGAATGTTCATCAATTATTTCTCTTGAGAATTAATCAAATATGAGGATATGATAATGCGTAATGTAGATGACTTCCCCAAATATGCATAATTTAAATATTTGGGAAGAACATTTAATTCAACTTTAGGTGGTTCCTCAATAGAAGGAAATAAAGATTTACAATTTTCGGTTGTATAATTCCAAACCTCTCCCTAACAATTTTTTTACTTATCTTCAACCAATAGAGTTGATTCTTCCATAGAATCTGTAAATTTCTTCTCATTTACATCTAACTCTTCTGATTTGACTTCATAATTTTCCTGAAAATGTCTGCTACACATAATCAACGAGATCCATTTGAAAACACGCATCTTCATTTCCCTTAAAAATATACTTCATAGCTTTTAACATATTAAAAGTAGCCTTTATCAGCACTACTTCTGAAAAATTGACACCTATTTTACAAAGCTAGTTCATTGAAAAATAAAAACAAAAACACAGTCAACCATTAATTTGTGTCTCAATCATGTCACCGTATCTAATTTTGTAAAAGAGGTGTCAAACACGATTTTTAAAATGTTAAGCATGCGTCAGAGCACATAAGAGATGTGTCCACGTACAACAAGGACACTAACGACTGTTTAAAGTTTCAATACTTCACATATCATATGAACTTTCTTATAGTAAATATCACACCATTTTTTCTCATATTGTTTATGATTCTACGCACATCCTTTTTATTATATTATTCTACTCCTCTCAAAAGATGTTAAATATTCTAAAGGGAAAGAACAAGATGATTATACTTTAACTTAAGAGCTATATATGCCAAATAAATTGGAGGTCCTTCCATCAATAGTTGAATTAGTAGGGAAAAAAACATTATAACCCATGGATTAGAATGGGCCCCTTCGATTTTTCATTTAAAGAGAAGCGCGCTTATCCTTGCACAATATATTTGAGCATGTCCACAAGCCAATTTCTTGAGGGAGATGATGCTTGACAAAGAATAGGTGCATTAGAATGCCTCTTCAACATTACATGAAAAGGCTAGGTGAAATCTCTAAGTTTAGCTCACAATAACTAGACTTTTCAATATTGTCATCCACAAGAGACACCAATGGAGTTGGAGGAGTTAGGATATTCATTTTGCATAAAGCTTGGCTCCCACCTTTCTTGCCTTTTGTAATTTGATTTACTTTAGAAAGCATGTAAAGTTGAATATGCACTGTAACATGCTGACAAGGAGAGCAGAACAAAGCTAAATTTCTACAGATGATAAGATATGGGAAATAAAAACTCAAAGAATATTAATTTTTTCTGCTCGAAGAAGGAAGTGATAAAAGGTGATCAAATAATACGTTAATCTTTTCTCATCCTATTCCTTTAGCGATATAATAACAAGCTAATTTTATTCATCTATTTATTTTTCTTTTTCTTTCTCTTTCTCCTTGCTATGATGTTCACAAACGCCCTCATTGTGCTCAATTTATAAATGATGAAGGTTGATGTGGTGGCTTTCCAAAGTGTGGATGTCCAATTTAGATGAGACTTATCAGTTTGATTTTTACTCTCCTTAGTTCACATTTCCATAAGTCCTAATCCATCTTCCATGAAACAATAAAATTTGTTGCCGTTAGTAGATGCATTGGTTTACCATCCAATGACCCCCATGAGGCATCTTTAAAATAGCACACCAAACAAACAGCTTAACTCAATGACATGGAATCCAGATTAAGTGAAAACACTTTCAATTACATGAGATTTTTTATGTTGGTTTTTTTTTTTTTTGAGCAAACTCAAAAGTCAAGTTAAAATTACATATTTTTTAATTTTCTGTTATTAAAAGTTATATTAATGTTATGTGAAATTTTATCGGAGTTTTACCAAACTATTTGGTCAAGTTATGTTTTTAGGGTTAGCTAACAAGATTTAATTCCTAGCTGACTTTTTAACTACTTTTTTTTTTGTTGGATTAAGATGAAATCATGAACTTAAATTTCCAATTAAAATATTAATAAGACTCTGTCATTACCATTATTACCACTCACTATTAGTCACTCTCTTCATTTGTTTGACTTTATCTCCTACCCTCCTCCTCTCTTCACTCCACGGCTAATCCTCCTTATCTCCTCATTTTTCTAGTGAGATAAAGGCTTGTTGTTGT